ACAGTCACTGCCATTGCAAAGGCCACCCGATTTATCTCTCAAATACATATAAATGTGTTATAAGGGCAGCTATACAGCCTGCATGGTCGGCTCCTGCAGAACGATTCCCCCGGCACACATTGCAATCACATCAGCCCTCCTTTTCTCAGAAACAGTCACTCCATTAATGCTTTCAGTGCCACGTCTCCTGTGGCCTCAGCATGTTAATGCCCACATTCTCCATCAGTCACCTTCCACCACATGACACTCCATCTAAAACTGGAACCACAGGCAAGAGCTAAAGGGAAGGAAGAAGTGGCAAAAATTGTACTGTGTTTTTAAACCCTGTTGGCCGTTTCAAAAACACACCCTCACAAACACTGTATGTTACAGTATGTGCATATTACACAGGCAAGAATTCAGCTTAATTACAAGCTTTTACAAACAAAACATCTTACATATGAAATAATGGCTGCATTATTAAAAGAGCTTTTATCCAAATTTTATCCAAAGCACTGGCCAATTTGTCTCCCATTTACACTGTCTATGGTCATGAGGAGTAATTACAGTTCTGTTTCTTGTTAAAGGGCCAACATGTGAACACGAGGAGCTGTGCTTCAGACCTCAAAGCTTACGATAAGCAGATGTACAGCACAGTGTATACAGTAGTTAAGTTTAGCACCAATTAGATCAGCTACTACATTAAAGTGCAGCTTATGTGCACAAATATATACCTACCTGCTCAACACCAAACAGCAGACAGTAAGCAACAAGCTGGTGAACATAGTGGAGCATTTAGCAGCTAAAGAGCCAGATATTTCTCTCAGGAGTTAGTGGAGAACAAAACTAACCTTTAAAGAGAGTAAATATTGGATTTATATTCACCAGGTGAGCAGAAACATGACTCCACATGAATCATATTTTTGCTCTGTAACTGCTGTAAGTGTAAATAAGTAAGTGTTTATGAACAAGTTCACAAATATTATCTTTAAAGATGATAATATGTTAATATTGTGTTCACAACTTATTTCTACTGCCACCAAGTGGCCAAAAATTGATTTAATGCAGATTTAAAGTTATATATGCACAATGTAGGAAAGAGGAAAATCCTGGTTGATTTGGCACTATGGCTGTGGTTGGTGGTGCTGAGAACTAGTGCGTTTTAATAATATAGGCCCCAAAGTCTCTAAGTTGTATTGGCCCCTGGTTGCAATAAATGCACCTTGAGTGGTTACTCTATCAGAAAAGAGAAGAAGAGCATCTTGTATTTACGGCACAGCCAAACAAACTGTGGGCTGGAAGGAATCATTGCGTCCTGTTGTTTTAATAGAAAAGACTAAAGAAAGCCGTCAATAATTTAGTCCGATGGTAATACTGAACTCATGATTGAATGTTGTCATCTACATTTCTACATTAATTGTTTCCTTTTATTATCTTGTGTGTGGGTATACAACTGAATCCTGCATGGGAAAGGCAGACTCCGCCAGTAACAATGAAAACTACTATATATAGACTGCCAATAAATGCAAATACATGAATGGCAATTGTACTGTAAAATGGGCATGATACTTATCTATTTTTACTTAGATTTGTTTGTTAAACTTTTACTTGTAAGTGAGTAATTTTACATTAAAGTAAAGACTGCCACACACACACACACACACACACACACACACACACACACACACACACACAGAGGATAGTGTTTAAAAAAAAACAGGAGCTGACATGACAGTTTTGATTAGTTGCGACGTGAGAGGAGGGATGTCACCTGGGAAGTATGTTACGGCTGTGAAATCTGGAAACAGTAAAAAAAAAGAAGAGGGAAAAACGAGAAAAAAAAGGGAACATCAGAGGTAGGCGGGTATGAAAGTTGGCTGGTGTGACCTCTGGCCTCCCTCTCTCTTGGCTTCTCCCTTTGAGCCGCTAAAAGGCGTGCGGTGTGAGAAGCCAGGAGACAGCTGCACCCCCCCTTCTCCTCCTCTGGGCTCTCTCTGGGAAACTGAGGTCCCCTTTCTCAACTCACTTTAAATGCTGTGGGGTCAGGAGGAGCCGGGGCCCAGTTGAGGTGGTCCAGCCAGGGATAGAGTTTCACTACTTTACACAGCCAGTCTGGACTGTTTTGTGTGTGTGTGTGTGTGTGTGTGTGTGTGTGTGTGTGTGTGTGTGTGTGTCTCCATGAGAGAGAAAAGAAAGGGGTGCTGTTTGTGGAAAACTACTCCATTAAAGCCACAAAGAAACTTGCTGTAATGATCATAAACCTCCTGCTGTCACTACAATCTTCCGTGCAACAGACACCTCTCATCCCACGCAAATACACCTATTTACACATCACAGTAAATACACCATATATACACACATGGTCTCCTTTACTTACAGCAGCTACAGTTGCCTTAAGGAAAGGAGAGGAATGTATGAGTGAGCTTTTCATATTATATAACCGTAACCCTGACTAGCTTCTGGTCAACATTATCACTGAAACCTATACAGAAGATGAATTGAAGCCTCTACAGCAGGGGTGTCACTCTAAGACACAGTGGGTCAAAATTAAAAACTGGGACAAAGTCGCGGGCCAGATTTCATATTTATTGAAAAAAAAAAGCATGTTTTCCCTTCTTTCTAGATATAATAATGCACCTTTTTTTAGGTTTTACTTAAACACTGAATCTGGAAAAGCAAAGCTTAATAGAGACACCTGAGAAATCAATTTCAAATAAAGGACACCTCAGTGGCATTCATTTCTTAAATAAAAATAATATTATGCCTCTTTCTCCATCTGTAGCGTTTTCAGTTAATTTTCAATGAAATAATTTTCAATTTTTAATTTTTAGCCTACAACAACAAAAATAATAATAACAATGATGATAATGCTACAAAATCTTTTCCCTTTTCCATCAGCTGTTCATGTAGATTGGTGGCAAGCTCACATGTACGATCAGCAATGGTGTTTCTGCTCAAGCTCACATTTAAAAATGCTTGCCTTTTATCAGACTTTGATCATACAGTTTTTGACAAACTCTCCCTCAGTAAAGGGTCGGGCTGATTTAGTGATCTCTGCTGCCACAATAAAGCTAGCCTTTACAGCAGCTTCACTTTGGGATGTGGCCTTTGTGAACATAGTCTGTTGTGAAACCAAACTTCTTTCTATCTCCTCTACCTTCTGCTTTATGTCCAGGTCCTTGTACTTGTCGTGGTGTTTCGTTTCATAGTGTCTTCTTATATTATATTCTTTCGTTACAGCCATGTTGGCTCCGCAAACAAAACAAACAGGTCTGTTTGGCCCGCAAGTTTGGTCGTGAACAGATTCTGTCTCCCACCTGTCTAGAAAGCTCCTGTTTTCCACCTTCCGTTTGGCCATTTTTTTGGAGGGATGTCTGACATCTGCCCGAGGTGACTGGTAGCATGAGGTTGCGAATGAATGAAAACAGAGGAGGGGATGCTTGTGGGTCTTGACGCGCCAAGGCACTAGCAGAGCATTCTGGGATTTGTAGTGTAATTGCATGCGTTACCCGGCGGGCCAGCTCAAATAGAAATTTTATATTATCTTGCGGGCCAAATATAATTACACCACGGGCCAGATTTGGCCCTCGGGCCAGAGTTTGACACCCCTGCTCTACAGGGACCACTTTACATAATATGAAACTTTTTATCTGATGTTCACACCTTTAAAGATAGCTTTCGTCATCACACCGAATCATAAACCAATATGGATTTCTTCTAAGGAATTGAGAATTTTCGTATCTAAAACAAGCATTCGGGTGGTTAGACAGGTTGTAAACAGGACAACAATAAACCACTTAATTAGGAGGTGAAACTGAAAAGTAATGGTAATAAGCCATCACTGCACAGGAAAACTGCATGGCAACTGTAAGTACAATAGGTTAAAACGGAATTAGGACATCAGTGGGTAAACTCTGATGGATGATGTTTCCACAGATAGTTTGGGCAATCAGTTATCCAACATCAAGAGCAAACCATCGATCTTCAATTCAGTAGCAACTGATGCAAACTGCTGAGGAATACTGTGTGATGCTCCAGAACTGATACTAAATGGAACTTGTAGTGAGAACATTTTGTCAAATAATTTTACCATTAACCTTCATTTCCTCTGCCTAATAAATCTAGCTTACCTGGAGGTTTGTTTAAAACCTGTAAGATCATCTGACTGCACATGTCTCTTGCTCCTTCTGTAGTGATGTTGCCGCATTCCAACATTTCAGCAATTAACTGAGCACAATGTTACAGGGTGTCCGTAAAAAAAAGGGTTAAATATGATTTTGACAGTTTTTGAAAATGGATAAGATTAATAAAGTCAACTTTAATTTTTCAAATGTGTCTTGGGTATTGCTGGTAATTCTATGTCGATCATGCTGTAAGGCCTACAAAATAAAACTGACATGGGACCAATACTGATGGTCCTTTATATCCTTCATCATATCCTTTTTTCTTGCCACTATGGAAATTAAATTGCATTCACAATGGTCTTAAAAATGTCTTAAATTTAACCTGTTCAAATCTACAGAAGCCCAGTGTAATGATAACCCAAACTACAAAAATAAACTGAAATTATGCTTTGATGCCTTACCCAAAACAGGGAGAAAAATCCAGAGAGAGAGACAGACAAAGAGGAGGTTGATCCACATTGGACCCTCCCTTTGTCTTGAAGTTCAATCATGTATTGGGATTCCCAGGGATTAGAAGTCCGGCACCAACCTCCATCGACCAGCAGCTCTGGGCCTCGTGCTCAATAATCTTTGTCTGGCCAGCAGGCCACAAGTTAATGCGCTGAACAGTAGAACAGGACGGTAAAGTGGAGAGGGAGAGGAGAAGCCTGCATCAGATTGATCTGCTGCATCTCAACGGACTGCAGGAAGCAAGCAGGCAAACACACATCTGTGCTGTAAATTAAGCATCTATACCCACCAAGCTTAGGTACACACACACACACACACACACACACACACACACACACACACACACACACACACACACACACACACACACAGAATAAAGACTCTGGATTTATTATTACTAGAGCTAGTTTATTATCACTGTTATTGTTTTTTTTTTTCTTCAGTTTTGCACAATGAACCCTAAAACAATACAAACCACTAAAAATGGTCTATTTTGCCTTTTTACACACATACATACACACATACAGTACAAACTGTAAATGTGGATATGTATACAGATTTATTATTGACACCTTGGTCTAGAGAGAGTGTAGAAACATAACTTTGTGGAAACATACAGTAGTGATCCCTGACAATGCTCTGAGAACGCTTATTAAATAATTTTACATTGACCTGAATTAAACTGTAAAAGCAGACAGAGGCAGTGACCTCAGCAGACAGACGTACAACGAGACAGACAGAGAAACAAACAGATGTGTGATCATGGGCTGACTCTTTTGAAGATTTGTGCTCGCCTTTGTTCCATGCATAATGGTCGATTAAATTAATCAAACTCAGGTCACACTTTAAATGAGGCTTAATTTGTGAAATAAAACAAGTTGTTCACACAGCTGGTAATGCATATGGATTTTTGGTTTCAGGATGGCACCATATTTGAACCCTGCAGGATTGAAAAAATAAATAAAACTGCATAGAATAAATAAAAGTAAAATGTCAACCTTTGCCTTCTCTTGCACTTTGTCATGGTCAGATATTTTAATGAGCTTTACATCATGAACTGGAAAAGAAGATAACAATTAATTTATTTTCTGGAAAACAAAAGGCTGAGTTAATATAGCCATTTATAAAGTTTTGATGGTTTTAAATTTCTACAAACACATCAGGAACCAACTGTGCTTTAGGTCAAGTTGTGTGCATGAGAAAATGACTGTCCTGCTCATTGTAGCAGCTTCACCAAGACCAATAAAATCAATCTGTGTGTTATAGAATGGTAAACATAAAAACAGAAATGAATCAAAGATGTCCTGATAAAGCAGATTTGAGCTTTTGACTGTCAAACTTTTTTTTCTGAACTTTAATTTTCATTATTCCTTATTTAGTCTTATAAATGTATCATGTTATGGAAACTGCTGGACTTTCGGGGGCTTTAAACTCAGTGAACTTTACTTATGAGTGAGTTCTGCAGTTGTGGAAGAAACTAATCACCTCTTACCAGCTGATGGCAAGAAGATGAGGAAAGTTTAAATGCAAAGTTTGATAAAAAAAAAACTAATCTCACACCAGTATATTTTATGCATATGAGGAAAACTCTTGCAAACCAGCGACACTGAGCAAGAGAAGGTCAAATATTCTTACGCCTACATGGTTTGATATGGCAACAATATATATTGGCAAAAATTTCCCTTTAGGACTAAATACTCTTTAGCCTGCAGTGCTGCAGGACTGATACTTAGACTGTGAATCATAAACATAAATGCAGAGCAAATCTGCCATGTGGTGCTCTATATATGCAGGAAGATTTCACAAAGCATGCTTAAACAGCGATGTTTTTACTGAGAAGCCGTTATGGACTTTCATGTTTGATGGTAACTTCACAGGACGTGAAGTGTGTGGTGTCAATCACATGCAGAGTAGTTTCTACTCAGGAGCTCTTTTCTTATTTCAGTGGCCAAATTACTGCTGAGCGAGCAACTTTAGATTGCGTTGACAACATTAATACAGGACAGACTTTCCCCTCAAGCCAAGATGATTTGCGAAGGAAAATAAAGACTGTCACTTTGAAGGTAACTGGACTGACAGGACCTCACCCTGAGTCACTCATGTGAGGATGGGAACAGGATGAGGATGAGGTGATCATCAGGCATCAACGAGGGCAAGACAGAGTTCGATTTGTCAGTGGAAAAGGTCACTCAATCTACAAACCATCAAAACAGATTGACTGACAATGTGAGACAGGACCATCAATAGCACCATATTGATATCACAACATTATTTTGCCATTATTCGGCTAAATATCACAGTGATACCATCACAAGTCCAATAATGATTAACTAACACTTTTCATTTCTCATGCAGATCTACAGAAGGTTTTCCTCTTCCTATAGCCTTTAAACACATTGGATTCAATCTGCGTTCTTGGCAGATGTATATAAAATATAATACTGATCTCAAACATTAAAGTACAATTACATTAAATCACCATTTGACTAAACTCAGCATTATTTGACATGTACAGGCATCGGGGTCTCAAAACAGAATACCACAGAGATAAATGCATTGGAAATGTAATCAATTCATCATATCGGATGGTCATTTGGTGCCACAACGAGTAATACTACATAATGTCAGGTATATTTCAAGAAGAGGCTAGTTGCATCAGGCTTTGGACTTTTGGAGAAATCAGACTCAGAATATTTCAAGTTACCCAAAATACCCTCAACCTCTGAGTTACAGCATTGTACTTACATCTATAACAGACATTATACAGTGATACAATGTCAGTCTAGCCAGTCGAAGCCTATCTCGTCCTCCTGACTCAGTCTGGTTACCTGTGTTCCGTTAATTTATGCATAATAAGATCCATACGGGCACCATAATCAATGTAAAACAAAGCCTGCACATGCCCAGTCCAGGATGCCTTCTTTATGAGAACCTGAGGTGTACAAGAAGATGAATTACAGCTGCAACTAATTATTAATTATTTTCATTATCGATTAGCCTATTCTCAGTTAATCGTTTGGTCTATCAATGTCAGAACACATAGCATTTTCTTAAAGCTCAAGCTGACTTCTTTTAAAACGCTTGTTTTGTCCGACTCACAGTCTAAAGCCCCTATTCAGTTTATCATCACATAAATAAAAGCAGTTTTCTTAGAATCTTGAACTATTAAATTTTTGGCATTTTGGCTTGAAAAATGACTTAAATGATTAATCAATTATCCATATAGTTTCTGATAAGGTTTCTGCCAGTCGATTTATTTATTTGTTGACTAATTGTTTCAGCTTTAGAATGAATATTGACATAAAGCAGTAATCAGTAATCTTTCACTGAGAAGAACAGAAATCAAAGCTCTCCTTATTTTTAAGGTGTAAGCTCATGGTAATGTGTAATTCCTACACTAAGGAGGCAGCTGAACTACTTTCTGAGAAAAGTTCCTGTTGTGTTTCAGAGTGGCGATCATTATCCTGCCAACACTTTCTCTTATTTACTTAAATGACCAACAAAGAAGACATCCCTTACAGCGAATCTGTCTGAACTGGGCACAAAGCAGAATTTAAAGAGGAAAATCATGTCCAGAAATGGCCTGTTGATATACATATAACAACAGGATCAGAGAGTCCCTGAGCACGTACTCTCCCTGTCCAAAGGTCAGGATTCTTAAATGAAATAAAAAGGAGACTGGTTAACTGACAGAAGCAGGAGTTTGGTGATGTAGCACTTCCCAAGGCTGCATACTATACAAGACAAAGGCTAATTTTTTTCATTAACTGTCAGCAAAGGAATCACTTGGCCCCTTCTGCTGATGGAGTACCAGTCAGTCAGTGAGAACAGCTTTGAGGGCTCCATTAAATCACACAAGTTCTAATATTATACAGCAATACGACAACCTGACCTATCAAAGTCTTATCACGTAAACATGATCGTCACTGCACCACATTCCCAGCGAATCAGGTTAAACAGTATGGCACTAAAACCTGTCACATCCACGGGTGAGATGTGGGCAATTTCCTGCAGGAGATTAACCCTAAATTACACTGAGACACAGAGGAAGGAAGGAAGTAAGGAAGAAAAGCACACCACTTGCTTCCCCAATGAAATTACTCATAACAACAAAAGTCGAAACACTGATTAAGGCTGCAGCAGCCCTGCAGAGAAAATATCACATTGGTAGTTAATAAATATACAAGCAGGAGACATTTAGGTTGGGCATTTTTTCTGCTATTTTGACAAGTACCATTATTGTTTTTCCAACACTTGTAACAGGCTGTACAATTAAATACTAGAAATGGATGCAAACAAATAAGCATAAAAAATACATTTAAAATGCATAAAATTACATTACCTAAGAAGATCGCTAAAATGGAGACTGTGTGTAATAATGTGTGTTTGCAGAACACACAAAGAGAGAAGGTGATTCTCTGCTGTGGGGACAGATACAACTCTCATGAAGAATGTCATGGATGAAGATAAGATATGAGCCAGAAAAAATGTATATATGCACTTTGAGAATTTTAATTTTCCAATTTCCTATTTTCATGACTTAAATAATAAAACATATGCTGAATTCATGCAATGTCAGCAAAATGAAAAAAACTAAAAACAAAAAACTCCTGTTATTCCGACAAGGCAGTGTTAGCTCAAGATGCCAGCCCCATTGCCAGATTTTTTAAATAGCCTAAATTAGTAAGTTTTGTTGTGTGAGACCAGATACATACAAGCAGTTTATAGTTCTTTTAAATTAGATGAATCAATCGCAACCAAAATACCAATGTCCATCTGACCCATGCTCTGTTGACTATCAGTAAACTAGCCAACTGCTGTTATCTTTGCTAATGTGAAATGATGAAAGATAGCAGGGATGCTGAAAACATGCCAGAACAAAGAAAGAATTTTGGTTTCAACACCATAGATGTATAAAATCCAGATAAAGGGAAATGTGTTTTGCTGACAAGATGCAACTGCCTCAACGTAACGTTAGTTTAACTCAAGTGAGGCAGCAGAGGAACAAGGTCATCTAAAAACAAATTACTTACTGGTCCAAATTCATTTAAACTTTTATAATTTGAAATATTTTGACAAAGTGTTTTTGTTCAAAACTTCTGTACTTCTTTAAGTACTAAGTGCTAAGTTGAAGATATTGTAGCTGTTAGACATTCACAATTTCACATGACTTGGACTTACAGGAGTCTGACATCACATCAACAGGTTTTCCAACTCGACTGCCCATGAAAAACAATCTTAAGTGAATGCAGTAGCTACAGTTAAGGCAATGAGTCACAGGAATAGGAGCCAGGGAGGCAAATCAATAAATCAATTGTGTTGAATTATGTGTGTGTGTTGGAGTTGTAAGTACCACCCACTTTACTTTTCTCAGTTTACTTCAGTAATTCACAGATAAACTTTCCACAGAGGATATAAAGTTAAACATCTGTGAGAACAAATAAAGTTAAACGTGATATGAAAAACAAAAAACAAAACAACAACAATCTGATAACCAAAATTACACATTCACATCCACTAGAAGCGAAGCATGAACTTGAACTGTTTTAATAATTAGTGCACAAGATAAAGGTCCTAAAAAGTTCTCCCTCCATTTGTGTGTTGGTGTACTGTATGTACTGTAGTTTCTGTCTGCCTGTGTCGTCAACTGCAATATAATGATATATATATATATATATATATATATATATACATATATATATATATTCCTCTACTCCATTTTTCGTACTCTGTATGTTTCCTTCATTGAGACCTGAGAGAAAGGCCGAAAACAGGGTTGAGGTAGGTAACCATGATGCATCAGAGCAAGTCCTGTACAGTATGTGACAACACAGAGCAGAGGGCCAGAGAGAGAAGGCCTGTGATCGTACAGCCACCCAACGACTGACTGCTGCCCTCAGCCAGCTCTCTGCCTGTGGTCGTTATTATTAACACGGTTTTCCTGAAGCACTTTAACAAGTCAGTGTTGACAGGAGGGAGAAGGCTGAGCAGCAATTGTGGTTTTGGGAAGAGAATAACAATAGTCAAGCATGATCAGCAACTATCATGTCTCCTGTGCACCGGATGTCTAAAAGGCTATTACTGTGTTTAAAAAGGAGGCAGATAATGTGATGTGAAAATCAAATCACTAAGAGCACTGCAGCAACAAATATCCAGAACGGGGTTAGAAATACACTGCTGCCAATTTGAATCAAAGGAATAGCTGAACATTTTAGGAAAAGCACTCATTCGCTCTCTGGCGAAAAGTCAGACAATATTGATACCACTCTCATATCTGTCTGTAAAATATCTCTGAGTAGTTGCCAAGCAACCAGTGGAAACTCAAGGAAGTTACTGCTCCAAATCAAGAAATAGTCCAACACATAACCCCCTGAAAACGATTCCTATTTTGTATGGATGAAACAAACATTATATAATGTATTAATTAGCTGCTTTAGAGGAGCTAGAGCTGCTACTGTTCCTCCTGTTTTCAGTCTTCATGCTAAGCTGAAACTAAAAGTCTGCTGACTGCAGCTTTATATTAATCGTACCGACAACGATCTTCTCATCTAACTTTGCACCAGAAAGAAAATATTTCAAATGTGTCAAACTATTCCTTCAACTATGGAGCTAGTGCTAGGAGGCAATTAGTTTAGCTTAGCTTAGCTTAGCATAGATATATGAGCAGGGGGAAGTTAGCCCGGCTCAATACAAGTTCAAAAATCTGCCTCTAAAGCTCACAAATTCTAAATGTTACATCTCATTTGTTTAATGTGAATTCAAACAGTAATAAGAGAAGTTATGTGCTGTACTGTACATGCTAAACTACTACTACTAGCCCTACTACTACTGCTATTACTGCTAATAGCTGACACAGAAGACACAAGAGTGGTATCAACCAACCGTCTGAAAGAAAGCCCATAAACAGATTTCCCAAAATGTCAAACAACTTTATCAATAGTGGAATAATGTTTTGATAAGATTTGTGCTTAATTTTCTTCTCCTTTTATATATATCCAGGGGTTGAATTTGATGCAGTTCTATGTCATCAGGCGTAGTCAGATTGGCCATCGGGAGAAATCCCGGTGGGCCGGTCACTCATTATAAAAAAAAAAGAGCGAGTGAGATGTGTCGCCTGATTATGCACCAGCATATCTGCGGGCTCTGGTTGTGGATCAGATTTTGTATTCAATGTAAAACCACAGAGCCCCCGCACATAACAAATCCCAATTTAACCCCTGCATACATCGTATGAAAACATTCATTCAATCAATAAAACACATCTGCACTCACACAAATACACACTCCCACAGAATTAAATTATAGCACTAATTTTAGACACATATATGATTAAACAATTGAACATCATGTATCACATCTCGTTGAGCAGTAAATAGTCCTGAAAATATAATTAGCAATGCAGTGTATCTCTAACGGTCTTTCCATTCAACTGAAGCAACTACATTTGAAAAAAAAAAAAAAAAAAGTATTATGATCTTTTGAATGAAATAAAATCTAAAAAAGCTTATCGTGGAACAGCATAATTCATACACATTCCTAACATACTGTAATTCATACAACAGTGTTATCAGTCTGTCAACTTGCATGAGGTACTGACATTGTATCTACAAACACCATATTCATCAACAGCGGATTTCACAGGGGGGGAAAGAGGGTTTTTCATTATGCAATAAACAGACAAACAACAACAACAACAGCGACAACATTAACATTGTTATCTTGAGGTAGAACATTAACTTCAGCATTTGGAAGTGCTTTATGTTGGATACTCGTTTTTTTCGTTTTGCTCCGACAAGCAAGTGAGAGAGAGAAACGATTCTTGACATCTGAGGTAGTGCGGCACCTGATTTTGTAATTTTCAAACCAATCAGTTCCTCCGCATGTAAAGTAATTGTGAGAACAGGGGAAGGTAAAGTCCCTAAAAGCTTCCCGCAACACATTCATTCCGGCTGAGGTAGGTTTTTGTTGAATCGTAAGGTTCACACAGCCAAGTCTAGTGCCTGTATGAAGGCCGAGAACTCATAAAAAAATGTTGATATCTCTGAAACAAAGTCCTGAGACAGAATATATCAAATCCCTGGACGAAGGCTGAGGTCTTCTGTGAGCGAGAAGGTGGAATCATTGGTAGGTGAGAGCAGGCAGCAGGAGTCTTTGACATCCACAGAAAAGTAGAGATAAGACCAATAACTTATAACCACTTTGACATATAGGTGATAAAGATATAAATGTATATATATATTTATAAACTTAAAAATAAAATCATCATTATATAACAAGGACATTCTGGGGCCTCTATTCTGTGCCCAACACCAGAAAATTAACAAAACAAAAAAAATAATAATTGTACAAATAAAGAACATTTAACTGGTCTGCTGAGCTAGAAACAGCCATCCATCAGAAGATAGCTCTCCCAGACTCCAGGCCAAAAACACTCTGATATACAGTCCTAGATCCTCTAGAACTTCTTAACTTACCAATAAAAAAATCTTTGAACAAACTACTTTGAAAGGAAACATTTGTCAACCTGAGTGAGAGAAAAGTCTAAGTGGACACTGTATCATGAATTGGCCTTCATACATGATTAGCCTTGGTCCTGTCGACCTGCTCCTGCTGCAGGAGGCTCCTGGAACTGCGTCTCTCGCTCCACAGCGAACTCGTCCAGAGGTATCGTAGACAGCTGGGTGTCGTTCAGCGCGTAGGAGTCGGACTGAAAACATGTGCAAGCAACAGTAATAAGATTGAGAGTGCGTTTAATTAATTCACTGGGCATTTTCGTATTGACATTTTAGCCTTTTTGACAGATAGATGGGAAATGTAGGATGAGAGGAGATGAAGGTCCCTTTGGATACATGGCAGGTTTCCAACCCCCAGACCACCAGGATGGTGTGCTTCTTTTTATGCAAAGGGCAATTTTAGTGCTTTTATTTATTCTCTGAATTCCACAATGTATTTTTTTGTGCTTTTATAACACTATAATATATATACTGTAAAAAACAAACAAACATATGTCAAGGTAGGCGTGAAAGCTGTAGCTTCAGCCTACACCTTTAGGGTGTGTAGAAAACCTTTTATCCTCTTTTACTGTATCTACTATACTGTTTTGTTGGGATAAATTGGATTGTTTGTTGTAATAATGAATCAAATTAACTAAAGTCATTTCAGACTTGCTTTGGTTTGTCCTCTGGTGTTGGTGCACTGTTAGAAGCTGATGTCATTCTCAACCAAGGAGACACAAAGCTGTGATAGTGAAGGGAAAAAAAAGACTAGAATATATAAAAAAAAGTAGACACTTAAAGCCAGATAGTTGCACTCTGCTGCAAAACACAATTTTCAGCTTCTCATTCACACTTTTAAATTGCTTTTTGCTGATGGAATAAATGGTCAGTGGAGTTGTTTTCTGTGCTCATTGGAAATAAATTGGAGTGACTGAGCATGAGTGAAATTAAACTGAAATTGATTTAAAGGTAAACTACACTTTATTAGAGCTTGGGTTTATTTCTGCAGCTCCAGGCATCCGTTCTATCAGGTATGATAACACTACACTCACCAAAGTAGTTTCTGAGATATCAGAAGTGTGGTGGACAGTGTGGGTTGTAATTTGAACTGATGGCTGGAACTACAAACATATAACCCGCAAAATAAGTTGCAATTAAGTATTTTTCCTTTAAAATTACCTTACTGTGCGGTGTCACATTTAACACTGAAACTATTAAAAAAGCTTTAATTTCTCAGTATCAGGACTCACCATGCATGTGTCTTGTGTGTTGGGTTGAGTGAAAAGTCTCTCGAGCTCGTTGCTGTCGACCACTTTCTTTCCCGCTGCGCTGCCATTGACCTCCATCTCTCTCCTGGCAGCCCCGTTCAGCCCAGAGGCCCCCTGGGAAGATGAGGAGGATTCCAGCACCATGCTATGCCCTGCCTGAGGGGTGGCCTGAACTGTCTTACACATCATTAACCTGGGGATTACATGAACACACACACATAAAGCACTCGTCAGCTGCATACACTTGATGACTGACATTAACTCTCAACAACAATAGCTGGCAAGTTATTTCCACTGGTTCTATTTGTTGCTGTTAAGGTTTTACACATGTTTGCACTGACCTGCCACGGTAGCTGAATACGAGGAAGAGCACGCAGAAGATGATGCAGGTGACTCCGATGTGGATGCCAATTATGATGCCTGTTGTAGATGTTTTGCTCTGTTCATCTTTCACACAGTCGCACGGGGTGTCCAACACTGGGGAGACACAGCACACAAACCAATACGTTTGTATAAATTTGTATAAACAAGGGTATGGGTGATTTTTCTCAAGATAAGAGATGACACGTGTGACTCAGTGAGATGCATTAAACTTGTGTTGTAACAGTGTGTAACTACAGTGTGTGTGGCTGTGTTTGGTTGTGTCAGATAATCACCAGATTTCTCCACTGCCTCCCGAAGCGAAACAAATCGCACGGTGGAATTGCCATCTCCGTGTTGGTTGTATGCGAGCAGCTTTATCTCATAGACCAGAGCAGGATCTGGACAAAAAGATAGAAGGAGATATTCAGATAATGAATGAAACACAGGCTTATATTTGCTCCTTCTTTTTTAAAAAAAAAAAAACATTTTGTCAACTTTCTTAACCTACTAATCCTATTTCTCCTGATATTTAGAAGAAGAGTTGTTCCTTCAGCTTCATGAATAACTCCTATAAGTCTTTTCTGAAAGTAGGAATGTTTTTGTCCTAGTTTATTATTCAGCACAGTTCAACAAAGGAAGTCTGAGATGCTTGTTTATGGGACCATATCACAGTATCAAATGTTTTCTTTAATAAAGAGAATGAAACAATTGAGATTATAGAAACATCTCAAGATACAATCTGGTTTATGTCTATAGCATATATGCCTGTCTCACCCAGCTGAGTGATGTTGTACTGAGTGACGTTGCGAGCAAAGGTGATGGGACCAGTAAACAGTGGTGTGTGGGCTCTTCTGTAATACAGCCTGAAGCCTTGATGCTGGCCCATCTTGGAGGAAGGTTCCCACGTTGCTTTTATAACACTGCTGTTCACCACCTTGGTGTAGAGGGAAGGAGGCGCGGGCACTGCAATACAATACAGTGGTTCAGCAACATAATAGAAGCAGCACGTAACAGTAACAAGAGAGCTTTTATTTAGTATCTTTGGAGCGCGAATTATGAACTATTATCACAAATAAAACATCTACCTGCTATCTACTTTATTTTAAATTTTTCTAAATCTTGTGTGTTTTCACTCTCAGCAAAATCTCCATGCATGTTTGATATTGGTAAAAGATATGCTTTGTGGGTGAGTGTGTGTGTTCTGCTTCCAACTCACCCTCCCCATGAGTGCTCTCGGTGGCACTGTCCGATGGTTTGCTGGCCCCGTGGGATGTGTAGGCTTTGACATAGAAGGTGTAACTGGTGGAGGGCTCCAGATCCCTGATGATCTGTTGTAGCGTCACCTTACTGACAGCCTCCTCGTACTCCATCTCCACCGGGTCTGAAGGAGGAATGATGGAGGAGGAAAAAAAAAAGTGAGGGTAGAATAGAGTGAGCGAAAGAAAGAGGAATGACAGAAATAGGAAAAGAAAACAGGGAAGGGAAGAGAAGCAGGCATTAAAGTGATGGAAAATATTAACAAGAAAGGACAAGATGAATACAATCTGTTTCAGTCATTACTTTATGGTTATTGCCCATTTCACTGGTTTTATCAGAGCAGCTCTGTTAGGTAATAGCTAATCTAGTTTGGCCCTGGGAGCCTGAATGACAATGGTTGGAGTGAATTGCAGGGGTGGAGTGAGGAGATTGAGTGGGTAAAACGGGGACTTAAAAAGAATGTGTTATAGCATTTTATTGCTCTTAATCCAGAGACAACCAACCATAACCACTATCTACCTCCAGCCCTTAACCCATTGGGCCATGCCATCCTGGAACGCTAATCACTGCAGATACTATCGGTTGGCCCCCGGGGCCCTAAATTATCCATCCGATAGAAATACTGTGGAGAACGGCAGCTGGCGCTACGAGACTCTCGCCACACACACACCCATAAACTTGCCCAAAGCTGTAAATAAGCATGCATGTATGAACACACACAGGGAGCATCGTACCAATAGTCCACGCGTATGGATCCCAAGGGAAAAAAATCTGAAATTGAGTTCGCTATTCCAATTTTATAGTGGGGTGTGGAGAGTTGTACTGTAGCACTAAACACACACTGGCTATAAAGTCGTAATTCAATTACTGTATGTACCATCTGCCAAATGCTTGTAATGAATGTAAATGTAATGGGAATCACTGGCTTTATCATAGTTTCCATATTGAGACTGTTCATAAGGTTGTTGGATTGTATCTGTCTGGGACCTGTTTTACCAAACATGCAAGCTGGGACTTGCAACAGGAAATCAAATGACAGGACGATGTTACCATTTGCGATCAGTGCTCTGAAATCCCTTTTGTGAAACAGGAGCATCACTGACAATGCGAGCGCTGTCTACATTCATCACTTCAGTGTAAAAGCATAGTAACTGTAGGACTTATTGACATGACAAGAAACATTTGTTTCCTGCCTCTCCTTATTTCACCTGACATAGCCTTTGACACTAATTCCATGTGACAATGCTTCATCTATTACTTATTGTCCAACATTTTTCTATGAAATCTACTGCACATAGCTATTTGGATCTTAAGTGCAGCCTCACCTGAGGTCCTACGGATGTGGAGCACGTAACCGATGATGTCCTGAGTGTTCTGATCAGGCTCCCTCCAGGACACTTGTATGGTGGTAGGTGAGAGGGCCTCTGCCTGCACGTGGGTGGGCACACCGGGCAGTCCATCAGCCCAGAGCACTGTGAGGCGGGCACTGGCCTGTGTGGAGCCGGCACTGTTCTCTGCGATACACTGATAGATAGCCCCGTCATCCTGGCTAATACCATATATCGTCAGAGTGCTGCAACAGGAGAAAAGGAGAGAACAGGTGGAGCGGGATGAAAAGAAAGTGGAAAAGAAAAAAGGAAAATGGGAAGTTTAATTTCTCTGACACCAGCATAAGTTGATTAACTTCATGTGAGAAATCTAATGTCCAAATCCAAAAAGTCAACTCTACTGTTGAATTGCTGTTTACTAAAAATTAATATCATTAAATTTATAGTATATTATATAATTTATAGTAAAATTGACCAATGTAGTAATAACTCATTATGTGACACATTAATAATTGTTTCACACTTCAAACTACCTCAGTTACTAACACCTGCACTTTACATAAAACACATTACACATTGGCTGATAGGGGCCATGATTTTTTGGAGGATGTCTAAATCCTGTTGGTGAATATTAGGGCTTCATATAAGGAAAATGTGTACAAAATTTCCAGTGAGTCAGACCCATTAACACTGAGGCATGACCATCTAAATATATCACGTTGCTGTAGCGCAGCAGATGGCGGAAAAGCCATCTAACCTTGTGGAATCACTCACAGTTGATATGTGTGTTTAAGAGTTATAGCAGTTTATATGTAATAGGCCACGCTCAAACAGAAAACCTGGTGTGCTCAAGTTCAGCATCTTCAGAGTATGATGGGTGCCAACCCAAAAAATCATGTAAACGGTAAATGAAGTCGTCAGCAGTCAAATAAGTGTGTAATGCTTTTAATTGCATGGCAGCAGACAAAAACTGACGCTTTTCGGCCCTAGGCGTTCTTCAGCGTCACTGAGACATTTGTGGGTGTAACCAAATTAATCAGAAGCCAGGAACCAGATGGTGATTAACGACCAGCTGAGACTAATCATCAATACTAGTAAGATAAACAGTAGTAGGAAAATATAAGTAACACATGGAAATGTATCATATTCCATTCTTGCAGGCAGCAATAGGCCAATAGGTTTTGTACATAACTCCGGGACCTGCTTCACCAGGTTTCATATCACACAAAACGTTGGATGCTGCAAACTTGTAAACATTTGTGTGTGTGTGTGTGTGTGTGTGTGTGTGTGTGTGTGTGTGTGTGTGTGTGTGTATTTGATGGGGGGGGGGCATATTTATTTATAAAAGTTGGCGGGAGGGGGGTAAATTGTTTTAATGATGTGGGGATGTGTGTATTCATAACTTTGTAATTGAAATTTTGCAGAACTGTGCATTTAGTAACTGTTTTTAATTTATTTTATGTTCCATCTACCTGCCCAGGGACTACAGGTGGAAAACAGCAATTTGCTAAAACCCGGTGCAATGCATCTCTCCTTGTTATATACAGGGTTAATGTTTTATTGTGCACTGTCCCTGTTCAAATAAAATAAATAATAATAATAATAATAACATAGTGACACTATTCACATCAAAAACCAAATTGCAAATTGCTTTTATTTTTTAAAATATTCTGCTGACAAAAAAAAAGCCACATCCTTGGTGGGATAACTATCCAATCTACTGCATCAAATTTTATTGTTTAGGTTTATCATTTGTGGAGTAATGTGTGAGTGCAGCCTTCAGATTTTATGAAGTAAAAAAGAAACATGTTATAGTACTAAAGGAATGAAGTCATGGAGTACAATACTTGGAAAAAATAAAAACACTTAATGTAATTGCTTCATACCTCAGGTGAGGACTGCACACAGCAAAGAGGATAAGATCACAGTATGTCAAGAGGTACTGTGCTACTGTTTAATTGTGTGTATAGAAGATTAACACTTAATGCAAAGCAAATACTTTCAAACTAATTTGTCTTGTACTGAAACTCTGTCTGGAGTAGATGAATGTAGTTCAGTGTTTCAAAAAATATAATTCGGCTACATTATCTTTCCATGCACATAGGTACTCATACTCACCTATACACACACACACAAAACCTCCCACACAAAGTAAATATTTTACCCTGTATTCTCTTTCTTTTAACCGTTCTTCTTTATCGTACTTCCACTACTCTCCTCTTTGTCCTCATCTTTCTACTTTTCTCAGCATCTTCTTCTTCTTCCCTCTAACCTGGCATGTCTTCCAAAGAAATGTGCACATGTGTAGTTGTGTGCATGTTTAGTAGGTGTTATTAGACGAAAATACATAATCTTGTCATTGTGTTTGTCCTAAGGCAAAAGAAAAAATAAAACATTTAACATACTATGGAAATGAGGCCCTGTGGTGCAAAACATTTCTTCATGCCATTTTCATGCCAAGGCCATTTCTGCTGTATTTAAGGTATAATATGTGTAGGAGAGAAGGGAAAAACACACACATAATGAATACCGGAATATAATAAGGGCTTGAGTTGTAGCTTTGTCCATTTTTTCTAGTTCCAAGATGGTGAAGCCCTTTGGTCATGACATTTTAAGAGATCAAAAACATTTTTCAAATAAAGAAAACCTTCTGGCCACTACTTCTCATGCTGTGCTTTAAGTTGAAACTGTTGAATTGAATGCCACAGGAGTTCAACATATCTGTCCTGCAGCAGCCCTCTAAACCTGTCACTCGCACTTTGCAAGAACCTGTCGAACAGACTATCATCTTTCTTTGACGGACAGGTAGGATCCTCTGTGTATTAAATCGAAAATTTATTAAGAAATGCCAAGAAGGTCCCGTGAGGAAAAACATGCAATTTGCTGAAAGAACAGCACATCAGCCCTGTGTTATACACGGGGTCTGTCACTGGCCACCCTCTGGACCTTTGAAATGGAACATGAGGAAAGTGGCATTCCAACTCTCGACAGACAGCGCCGACCTCATACCAGCTTTTGGCGTGGTTTGTAAGGATGGATTTGTTAGGATGGGGGAGTGTTCTTCTGGGTCAGCGGGCAGGTTGGAGAAGTGAATCATTCCATTTCCTTTTCAAAATTGATGTACTGGGATACAATTACTGTACGTCTCTAATCTGGGTCAGACTAGGCTGCCAGGTGGAAGAGTTATTATTCTCTCCGGTCTGTGAGGTGGATTCAATCTGGATAATTATTAGGTCAAAGAGGCCACCCTCTCTGAGCCAATCTCACCTCTGACCCCCAAGGTGGCAGCAGTCGCCAGCCCTCAGCTCGCTACTCAACCATCACATTTCTGACAGCCTTTCATATCAGTGATGGATGGAGTGTTTGCAGACAGGCAGCCTGACCAGACGCCACAGACGCAGCAAAGAGGCCCCCAGGGACGCACTATCCGATGCCACCGGGGGGCTGGATTGGCCCCCTGAGCATGTGAGGGGAATGCAGGGAAATTTCACAAGACCTTGCTTGTTCCTGAAGGTACAGTAGCGTCCAACCACATGTCCGCTCACATGCATGAACACACGCACACACACATCCACATGCCGACTGATCCTGCTGACGTGTAGCTTATGAAATTCCACACCTGCTGTCAAAAGTTCCTTCCCAACTTCAAGGAAAAAAGTTCAAAAAACATTTCATGAATTATTTTATCAAAGCATATTAATGATTGCAGCAAATTCAGTGTTTTCTGCTCATTTTTTAGATTAATAGTTTTTTTAATTCTGCCTGGCTGTGACTTAATTTAAAGTTGCAGTCCACAAAGATTCTGTGTTTTGGCTTCATTTTGGCATCTTCTCTTGTGGTAAGCAGATACTTAGCATAATATTTGGCAAATGAGGACCATCGGACCAGAATTGGTTTTTAGGTTGGAACCAAACATACATTTATTCCTGAGAATCCTTTGAATTGTCAAGTAATGCTAGTTTTAATTAATGACAGAAAAAGAGAAAGAAAGAGTAGAATACTGTATTTATAAAGTTAATTGACTGGATTTTATTTCTAGAGGTCAAAAAGAAGTCTTAAAGATTAAAACTTCTCATTTAAGTGCAACATTCTCCTTCAAGAAGATTACAAAATGACAAGCAGATCAAATGATCTTTCTTTTAATCTAAGACTTTTTTGATTAAATATTTTGGATTGGAGCTTTAGAAAATATTGATCTACATTAATATGCACTAGCAGAGCAAAGCCAGTTTGCTTGTCTTACATGAGCTCCAAAACCAAGCAGTCCTGTCTTGACATGCTGACACCATCATTTACTCATCAGTTCAAGGTCATTTCACAGATTGATGGATAAGGCCGTGGGCCAGGGGAGTGGCTGACAGGGGGGCCTTGGGCCTGTTGTTCGGCCACTGAGGCTCTGTTTACTCTTCGTTGTCTCTGAGCAGCACCCCATCAACAGCCAGTGTGGCCATTCTGGATCCAGCAAGCGGGAAAGGGGAAAAAAATACGGGGACAAAGAGAGAACAGGAGGAAGAGGTGGGGAAGGGGGAGGGGAGGAGTGATGAGCTGTCTGTGGCCTGAGAGGAGGGAAGGGCCCAGGGATATGACTGATTACAGGCGGGGTCAGAGTTCAAGGCCAATGCCCAGGCCCCAGCTCTCTGTAATGGGGGCAGGAAGGGGGATGTGGGGCACAGAGAGGGGCCGCACACAAGAAAGGCAGGTCTTGGTGAAAGAAAGTGGAAAAAAAAGAAAAGAAAAGAAAAGAAAAGAAAAGAAAAAAAAAATACCCTTTGAAAGGATTCTGCGGCGAAATGTCCAGATTTGTGTGGTAGCCTGTTCCTTTAGATGTTGGCCATTAATTATAACACCGTGACGCTCACACAAACTAGTTAAAATAAGTAATTTTCTTCACTATATAACTTAAAAACACACAAAAATCCAAAATATTTAGAGAAATATAGGAAATTAGAAAAATGCTCAAAGGCCAATAATGGATAGGGTAATAATAATGTATGTGTGTTTGTGTCTGAGCATGTGTGTGTGTGTATCAATATCTATTGAGATGTGACAGAGAGAGCAAACACACAGCTTCACCCTGAGCAGCAAACATCTGTTTACAGAAGCAGCCAATCAGCTCACCTCTGACATCATCTTGTACAGCCTGTCACGTATCTTATTTTTTCTTCACCTTGTGTGTAAAGTGTGCGTGCGGATGAGGAGTTAAGGAGCAACACGTTTGTGGATTTTCATGTTTGATTATGCGTGTGCACAAAATGAGTGATGGCATGCACCACAGGGCTATTTGTGCACATACGGGCTCACTTGCTTTTTGATTAATGTGTGTGCATGCGTGCGTGTGAATGAAATGTACAATCGATTCCCCTTCCTTTCCTTGTCCGATTTGCTTTTGAAGGTCAGTGTCATGAGAGATGGCTGAGGGGAGAAACCTCTGCATGTGTATATTTTTACACACACATGCGCATTAATTAAAATCTCTAGGTACGCTGCACTCACTATGTCCAAGCTTCCCCGTTCAGATAAAGTATGTATATGTAAGAACAGAATCATTGTGCTGCCCAGAGCTGTTGAATATCATTTACATATCATTAATGTTGTTTTGGCTTGGTTCTGGAGGTAAATTGTGCCCCATGCCACATAATTTTCCTTCCTTTCAGGACCTCCACTGCACTAGAAAACACAACACATGGCTTTTTTGTGCCTCGGGTAAAATTCACCCTACTATGAATTTCCCAACCCGGTCTTCCATAAAATTTCATATACAACTAAAATTTATGAGGTGGCTCGTTTGGAAAGCATGCTGGCCTCTAATCTTTGGGGTTGGTGGTTCTACCCCAGGCTTCTCCAATGTTTGTATATGAGAAGTATGTGATGGACAACTGGACAAAAGTGTCACATAACCTAATGTAACTAATTACGAACAAATTAGCAATTAACAAACCAAATGATGTTTGTTATTAACAGAATGAGAAAATGTTTACATTGAACAAATCTGAAGACTGTTAACTGACTAATCAACAAAATGTTGACTATTAATGTATTTCAAGGACCAATGTGTAGGATTTAGTGCAAGGAGTGAAGGTTTTCACCTTCAGATAATCTGTAACATAGATAACCAATTAATCATTTTGAGTAATTTTTAAAGAAATCATTTCCAAATTCTCTGATTTCAGCTTCTCAAATTTGATTATTTTCTGGTTCCTTTAGTCCTCCATGACAGTAAACTGAACATCTTTGGGTTGTGGACAAAACAAGATATTTGAGTTTTCACCATTTTCTGACATGTTAAGGACCCAGTGCTGATGCTACATACACATGCAGTGTGTGCGTAGAGCACCAAAGCAGCCTAATAATAATTCCTGACAATAATTATAATGTTATATACAGAGCACAGCGAGAAGTGTTACCATGTTCTCGATAGGATTTTTATTTTATTTTATTTTATCTGAAAATGAAAATGCATAGTTTTTAGTCAAAAATGACAATTGCAACCACAGCCCTCCAGAAACCTAGGGGACCCTGATATATATGGGCAAAGAAATTACCCTTAGGGGACCCAAATGGCCAACAGCGGCCCTGTATGGACCAACTAATCAATTAATAGAGAAAATTATGATAAATCTATAATGAAAATAGTTGTTAGTTGCAGCCCTACTGTAATACGAGATACTGCGATAAGGAATTATCAGACAGTAATGTGTCCTCTCTACTCAGCTCACAGTTCAGCTACACAGTGCAAACTCTTAGGACGCACACCAAGCTGCTCTGTTCTCTATATGGCTGACTACATTTCCTGGTCAACTAGCTGAGTTTATGAGCTAATTAGCTAATGGTAGATCTCAAGCTGAGGCCTGCCTCCTTAACCAATCACAGAGTGGGCTTTGTGATGCATGAGATCCATATTACAGCGGGTCTACAGCATACACTAATGGTGGCAAGTGGAAACCCTGTGATGCTCTGACTACCCGCTCTATCTTTTTCTCTCTCTCCTCATTTGTTTATCCTGCCGACTCATCATTTCTCTTTTGACCACCAGTTCATTTTTCTTCTTTTTTTTTTTTGCCTGGCCCCCATTTATTTCTTCCCTCTTTTCTTCCCTCTTTTGTTAGCCCAATGCTCCATCTCCCTGACTAACACAGACTGGTGGAGGCAAAGTGGGAGCGGAGCAGTGTACGTGAGCGATGGAGGTGTCTGCTCCCGTCACTCACTGCAACAGAGTGCAAGTATCGATTTTTTTGGAGCATATTTAATGTATTCACTTCATATTTCTTTCTCTGAATAATAACAACAACATACACGGATGGTTGGCTGCCAGGGTCACCAGGAAAAATGTAACTTTCCATGTCCAGTAATACATAAAAGAATTGACTCAAAAGCACATTTGCTGGATGGGTAGAGTACAGCAGTTCACAATCACACACACAGCCATATTAGCAAAAGGCTAGACACTTATATCTTAGTAATGCCTTCACACCATGTGCAAGAAAACAATAGAAACTTGATCATGTTATCAGCCTGAAAAACTCATATGCACCTTCATATTCACTGAACCTAAGCCAAAAACAGTTCATGCTCTCAAATGGCAATAAAACCTTTAGCAAGAAAAGCAGATCCTACATGCAATTAATCCTCAATATTATCTCGTACTCCCATGCCACATACAGTACTGTAACACAATAAAACAGTCACTGCAATGCTGGTAATGAACAGAGCTGGTTGCGGGGTCCTCCTCCTCATGACATTCCTGGGGACTGCCATGGGAAAGCATCCAACCTCCAGTCAATACACTGCTCACATACAAAGGCACAAAATAAATTGAGGCTCATGTCTTGGCAGGCATGAATTCCAGCAGCTGCCATGTTAGAAGCAACAGAAACGCAAATAAATTGAACATGTGATGAAGCCAATAATCTGATCAAGGCAGTGGTGATTGATAGTGACATCCTTATTACTTCTGTAAGCTGGGTCCAGCTTTGTAAGTGAGTGCGGTGGTGGTTGGGAGAGAAATCTGGGATGGTAATGTTAATGGGTTTTTAAGAGATGGATTTTAATCCCGATTCTCTGCAGATTTTTTCTGAAGGAAAGTGGTCTATTAGTCTTCCTGATGAATTTAAAAGCTATAAAGACGAGTGTCTTGCTGGAGGGTAAACACCAACTACATTTTTCACAACCTTGCAGCCAAAAAGTTACTCTCATCGATGGCTTATGAATGATCTATAACGTAATAATAAATTATTTATAAAGCCATTAATTGGGAGTTAGAAAGCCTTTATAAAGGGTGGCTTAAAGTGGTACCAAAATCACTCATACTGTATTACCATGTCTACATGTAGAATATATATGTATGAGCAATAAATTGGTTCATCAGATGTAAGCACTTCAAAAGTCTCAAAAAAACAGCATACCGAGACTAAAAATGCAAAGAGACACAGTGGTCACAAGCAGACATCTCATTTCCTTAACAACACAACAAATTACGATGTTAAAAAAAGCCATTTTTATTCAAAACCTGAAAATCATACACTTCACTAAATATATGTTTACTGCAGGGCTACTGTTGTTTAGCTTTGTTGTTTTTCCTCACCCTTATGATTCTGTGGATATTCTTTATGTATATATGAATAAATGTATGTAAATATACAAGGCAATGTTTTTTTCCTCACCTGTTGTTGTTCCTGAGTTTGACGTGTCCCCGTGGCTCCAGAATCTGCCCGTTCTTCAGCCAGGTGAGCTGGGGCTCAGGCTCGCCCTGCGCTTGGCAGGTAAAGATGGCGGTGGTGCCGACAGGCCGAGCAATGGATTGTGGAGCTTGAACAAACTCTGCTGGAGCTGAAAGAGGAGGGAAACAGAGAGTCAGATACGTTGGTCAGATTCCCACAACCAAAAAAAAAAAGATACTGCTAGAGAAACAAACTAGAAAATTTGAGGAGGATATAGAGGTCCAAAATCATCAATACAATACAAAAAGGTTGTCAAAAAGCTAGAGAAGAAGAGAAAGGTGTAAAAATAAAGGGCTAAGGGAGATTAATAAAAAGACAAGGAGAATGAGAGATGAAATATATGAGAGCCTGCAAGGTTTCTAGGTCGCTCTCATTTTATTAGTAAGAAGTGGTCTCTTGTTTTTTACATGTATAGTATAAATACTGCTGCAAACCTACAGTTCAGGGTCAATTAGCAGGATTATAAGAGATACCAGATCAATGAAGGTACAGGGAAATAACCAAGAGACAGAGAGGAGAGCAGACAAGCGAGAGAAGAAAGCACGGTAATTCTCAACAACAGCACTGCTTGAAACTAATGTGCTTTAAAATCGCATTTACATGAAAATAAAATGATGCAGTGTACAGTTTCATCATATCCTGTCTTATCCCATGCCACAAGCCTGCAGCTATGGTCAATTAGTGGTAATGACTTATTCATATGAAACGGTTCTCTTAGAAGAGTAAGTACTTTAAATCCAAGAGTAATTACAATTACATCCGCTGGAGTTTTAATTCCTGGGTCGGTGTTTTTATTTGAGCCGACACAGAGAGAAGTCTTGTATCATCTCCTTTGCACTCATTGTCCCAGTGGTTTTCAGTGATTTGATAGCCTGAATTATTTATACCCATATTAACTCAGAAAAAAATGTTATGGTAATTATAACATCTCAAAGTTATCACTAGAGGGTAGAAAGCTGAAATATCATATTGCCTGTTGTAAAAAAAAAAAAAAAAAAAAGCTCCGCTGTCCCAATCATTTAACTCATCATTATCTAGTGGGACTAAGTAACTGGAGACAAATTGTAAAATTATAGCTTAAACACAGATGCTGGTTGGAAAAAAAAAAAACGGTTTATTGTGCCTGTTGAGTGCGTTTTAACACAAAGAGAAGTCTGGATCAGTGTGTGTATTCATAAAGAACCTAAAACAAGGTTTGGGAGTTTCTGGCTTGTGTTTTTTATTATGTTTATTTGGGGCTAGTTTGCCTTTATTAGATATGAGAGAGGGAGGGAGAGAGAGAGAGAGAGAGTGAGAATGAGAGAGAGTGGGTGGATGACACGCAGCAAAGGGCCACAGGTCGGACTCGAACCCGGCACAGCTGGAGCAAAAACTAAATGGCGTATGAAGTATATGGCAGTTTATTAACCAGACGTGGCAGTAGCGTTGGGCTAGCTCGCCAGTGCATTCAGTATCAATTCATGTTGAATTCTGATTTGATCTTACATTTCTGACACTATCGAAACTTTGTCAGAGTGTAAAGGACCGTCTCTCAATGCTTTCTGACTTCTCTATCCTGTAAAGAGACTTTAATCATGTAGCTCCAAGTCCATTAATTTCTACTGAAGACCTAAATCTTAAAAAAAGAAAATTTATATTTAGTTTAATTGAAAAAAAGCCAAATAACTTCTATAAATGGCTGGATACTGCAGTTTTTGGTAAAAGTTCCTCAAACAGGACAAAACAGTGCATTTGTTGGGGACTATTTTCAGCTGTGGCTTAATAGGCATTTGGTGCTCTAGTGAGTGTTTACGGCTGCAGTGTCCAACCTAATGAAGGAACATATCAGGAACAATGAAGCTCTACAGCAGAGAAGAATAAGTCACATCAGTATTTGACCAAACAGACGATACTTATTAGCAGGACTGATTTATTGTTGATCTTTTCAAGGCTTTTGTAGACATGAAGAAAACTACTGACTAACACCACCCTTATCCTTTAATGCATAAGCCACATGTTTAGCCATTCAAACATCTTTGTCGTTTGTTGTCCGGTTTAATATTTTCCCTCTCTTTCAGTTTGTTTTCCCCCAATGTCCTTCTTCTTGTTCCCACCCTAACAGACAAAATGCTGTCTGACACTTTTTCAATGTAAGCACTTTCATTCTTCCATTGGAAAAGCTAAGGGACCCTTAGGCGCTTGGATGGAGGCTGCTGACAGCGTGTGATGGTCTTTCATTTATTTCTACCTCTTTCCTGGCTTCATTCTCTCTTTCCCTCTCACTCGCAGTGTTCTTTGAGGGCTGTCTTAAAGGTGGAGGTCAGGCAGAGCTCGGAAAGATATTGATTTTCCACCTGTATGGGTGTGGGTTAGATCATCAGCGCCATCCATCCATCTTGCTCTTGTTTTTCCCTTTTGGCTCTCACTCCTTCGGTCTTTGTTTCTCTTGTATCTCTCTTTGTGCCCCAAAGGAGCCAAAATTAGCGAAATTGATTATATCTATATATGTTACTGACCACTCAACTTAATTTCTGAAATGATGGCCAATGACACATTGTCGTATTTACATTACACTGACCAATTCTTGAAGCATATGCACATATTCTTTTCTTATAATGAAATAGGCCCCAACTACATTTGCTTGGAGTTAACAGTACATCTTTGTTTCCACAAATCGATCACAAGAACCAAACACATTGACACGTAATTAACATCCATGGCTTTTCTTCTTTGTTCCTGCTGGGTTGGTGCTTGTCTCTGACTTGACAGGCAGATAAAATGAAATATTGATCAGGATCAATACGTTATAGGCTGAAGCAAAGTGTGGTCCATCTGATCATTATGCGAGTGAGGCAAATGTTGGATGTTTCCTGCTTTGTGACAATTAATGCACAAGGCCACCCACACCTGGCCTCACCTCACTGGTCAAAACCATCCGTCTCTCTAACCTACCATCAAACACTTTCAGGTGACATATTCGACCATATAGGTTTGCTTCTTATATAATTTCATTTATGTAAAAAACGAAACATTACTGTATTTATGAATGCAGTATTCAGATATGATCCAATATAAAAAACATCATACAATCTTATATTAAAGACTCATTGGACTTACTTTAAGCAAAATAGTGTGTACTGAGTTGCTTTCAAATGTCACTTGGCGTGTTGTGACACTGAGAGACCCTATACAATTATACCTCACAAACTTGGCCTTGGTGCAGGTTTACAATCAAAGAGAAAATGGTTGTTCTCTCTGATCATAACTGTGCTGTAAACATCAACATCTTATATACAGTGTCAGTGTATTGGGCTTTTTGAAAACAAACATTTTTATAAATAAAGAGTACGGCTACGAGCTTTACAATTGCATTAAATCATATACATGTATCTGAATAATTCTGTTTTTGTTCTTTTGAGTTTGTTTGTCCTTGGCATGAGATGGAACTTAAATGTCTTATAAAGATCAAACCCTGCAATTTAATAATACTTTTGATGGCAGTAAACATTTTTTTATATTGGTCTCAGACTCACAACTACCACTCTGAAGAAGCAGATGATAATAATACTCTCCCTGTTGTATAATTTTTTAAGCTGTGGACGAATTAGATTTTTAAAAAGCTGGGAGCATGAAAGAGGCATTTTTTAAGGTGAGGATACCCTGCACGAAGACACGGTAAACAATGCCATTTTGAACAAAAAAACAAAAAATTCTCTCCCTTTTTTTCTTCCACAGATTTGAGGAACATTTGCAAACCGTTGACATATTTTATCGTTTGACTCATCTTTTATACATTTGCCCTGATTTGTGTTTCAAACAGGAACTAATATCCATGATTATGGAGTTCACACCAACATCCTCTCAAAACCTTTTCCCAACCGACCCCTTTGAGCTCCATCTCTAATAATACGTATCCCTGTGGACACTGTGCTCAGTGCCTCCAAACTAAAAACAATCTTTGTTCACCCTATCTCTAAAAAGCAATTTGCAAAAAACAGATGTAATCACATGTGCCTCAACACTATACTTGTATGATTCTTGTCTGTGTGGAATCGCCTGCATTGGTAAAACTTGCTTTAACAGCATTTTACTGACCAGAAAAGTTGAATACTTCTTAGTTTGATTTATACTGTTGTCAACCAACATTAATGGAACAACAAATTATTTTAAATTAATTTGATTGGTTGCCATTGTTGAGGACTTTAATCATGACACTGTGACGGGTTAGTTGGACTTTATATTATCATATATTAGGTATAAAGAAGATTTTTTTTGTATCAACCCGGTACGCCTGGTACACTAAACAAACATCTTAGCTGCTGCATGGAAGGTAGAAAATCAGTCTAAAATGTTGTGGTATGCTTTGGTTGGCAATAATGCAGAAACCCTTAAGTCTGACAGATTTGCACCACCCATAAGCTCAGAATTAGGGATTTAAATTAAAGTCCAACCACACGAAGCACATAAGTGATGCAGGGGCAACACATTTGCTCATCGTGGAATATAAACTAGAGGTGCCTCGAGTTGGGGTGTGCATGCCATCAAACACAACTAAAAGTGTTGGCTGATGGGAAGTTGGTGAAGTTATCATATGATGGTCAGGCTAACTGCACAGAGGTCCACCCACAGAATTCACAAGCTTTACCTTATCACCTAACCGCTGTATGTGTGCGCTTTGAGTTTCCCTCCTCCAACAAAATGTCAAAATCCTTTTATCCAGACCTCACCTTGGACCACAAGACGTCCCTGAGCAGTCCTACGAACACGGGTGCCAGGTTTGTTAGCAGCACACACGTAGACCCCTGAGTGCTGCACACCGACATCTGAGATCATCAGGTTCCCTGTGCCGAGTACCTGGATTCCCTCCACACCGATGGGACGGCCGTCTACTCAGGGGGAAAAGAGACAGAGAGCAATTGGGAAGGATGGGGAAGAATTTAAATAGGGCAGCAAAAAAAGCACATGTACAGAATGCGTTCACATTAGTTGGGGGTGAATGGAGGTGTGTGTGTACTACAGTAAAGATCAGAGTGGGCTTAAATCTCCAGCAAGAAAGACTAATTAAACGTATTTTATGCCTACAGCCACAAGTTGACAGAGGCTATTTCTGGCCCTCCCGGAGGTCAAGGATGTAGTTGAGGTGTGCGATTCTTTTGTAATGTCTTTTGGCAAAGCTGCCAGTCCAAGTAATATTTCATTTTGTGTTGTAATATTTTATTTTGTGATATCTTGTTGTACCTCAACTTCTGTACTCTTTCTTTTGCACTACATTGCCCTATACTGCTGTGACAAATTTGAATTCCTCTTAAGGGGGATCAATAAAGGAACATCTTATTGTATCTTATCTTAGACACAAGAATAAGAAAGTGATGAAGGTCGCTCCGTTTAAGTTTGCTGTGTGAATGGCGTACATGCTGTAATTAGTTGTATTCACTGGGAACATGTGGTGGTTGTTAGAGTGACATGCTAAAGAATATATTTCTCTTGAGAAAGAATCATCAGGTTTTCTGCTGTTTTACTATTGATGAATGTTTTTATCGCAAGTGCAGCTTCTCTAAAGACTGTTCAATTAATTAAAGCTTTCACACTCTAGCAGGAACCTTTTTCTTCGTGTCTTTGTCTGACTAAGCCTCAGAGTACATTTGCTTTTCAACAGATACACAGGAGATGTTCCAGTAGCCACAGATGGGACCAGAAAATCTAACTGCAACTTCTAATCTCATATCTCCTTACACAATCCATAGCTGCTTCTGTACTTACATGATAAGCTTGCACTTTCCTGTGCTCCCTGTCTGCAGTCTCAACCCCAACAATGACTTCAGTCTGTCTCTGATATTAGCTATGGGACCATGGGGGCATTTTAATCCCATCTATGACTTCCATCTGCAGCCTGTAAGCCTGTATGGCCCAGATTTGATGTGCTAAAAGGCCAGTCAGGGAGGCAGGGAGATGGGCACCAGCCAGAGATTCAAACCATATGGTCACTAGTCAGCAGTGTATTTTTAGATGTAATTTCAGATCTTTAATGCAAATAATTAAGGCAAGGCAAGTTTAAATTACAGTTTGTAATCAAATACTCTTAATAACTGCATGTGTCAAAATGATTTATGATAATATGAAACAAAACAAAATAGAAATAAAGCCATTACCAAACAGACAGAAAATAAAATCTGACAAATAAACAACAATGAGAATATAATCATGCAATCAAATCAGCATGAAGCAGTTCTGAGATACACTTTAATCAGATATGGTCACTGGTCCTACACTGCAAAAAGTAATTATAACAGCAAACACACATTCCCTTTATAGATATGATTAAAAGATGATTAAAAAGGCTCTTCTCCAAAGACCAAACCTCTCTCACAGCTTTCATGATGGAAGTCAACAATTCAAAGCTCTTAAATCCATTAGAAGTAATCAGAAAAATCAAGTAATTTAAAAACCAAACTGGCAGCCAGTGTGAACTGAGGTCTGCACTCTTTGTCAGAAATCTTGCAGCTTCATTTAGATAAGATGTAATCTTGTGGTGATGGATTATGAAGAGGACAATATTTGTAATTAATCATGACAAATTATTGATATGGAATAAATCACTCTAACCTGCTCAAAAAGTGTTTTTGCTCTGTGCTTGTCATTATGATGTTTTATTGCTATTTTTGCATTATTACTAACACACTGCACTAAAAAGTCACAGTTCAGCAAGCCTTTGTCTCAACAAATGCAGTCTGGTTCTTTTCTTGCCTTTTTCTTCTATATTTCTTTTCTCTCTCTGCCCCCTCCATCAGTTTCTCTCTGTCAGGCACTAATTAACTTAGTGTCAGAAAAGAAAGAGCACAAGCTAGCAGCCTGTGGTGCTGTTCAATGAATAGCATACAAACAAACTCTGGCATTAAGGAGTGACTGATGTGAAACTATCAAATTCATTATGCAGCTTATCCCAGCCTCCTTGCCATAATCTAATACATACAAATCCCATCGTGTTAGCATTTCATTCTAGCGACATTGTGTAAGGCAATACCCTCAATCTGATTATGCCCAACTGCTTGGGAGGGGCAGCAATTTACATTTGGAACAGCAAATCAGATTGGATAATAGGTAAAGAAAACAGAAACCAGATTGAAAAATTGGTCACGACAGACTTTGAGTGATGGTCAAGAAAAAAAATTGTGGGAGGGGAAACTAATCGTATCTGTCTCAGCACCTCACAGCAATTACTCAGAGGCTCTCCAGTTCTTCGGAGGAGGTTAAACTTCATGCAGAGATGAAGCATGCATTTATCAACACAGAGTCGAACATAATGTTTAGCCCCAAGGCCCAATGTTGAGTCCCACTGCCTCAAGTACACAATAGATGTTCTACTGTATCAAATGTATTCTGTGCACACATGTACATTACACAATGCAGGGCAGATCAAAGCTGTGCTGCAAAGTACATACAAACACGAGAACACAAAGCACATTCTACCCACACAAAACACTCAGATTCCACATGCATGAACGCACAGTGTGTTTGTACAAAATCCTCAAGCACACACACATGCGCAAAATGTAAAATTGAAACTACACATATGCACTTATGCATGGCCCTTTTCTTTGATCTGATCAGGAGTTTTTCTCACCTAGTCTGCTCCAAGACACAATGGGCCGAGGGTATCCAGTAGCAACACACTCCAAGATGGCAGTTTGGTGAACAGTGAGAGTGAGGTTTTCTGGACCGACCAGGATCATAGGCTCTTTGTAAACAGATGACTGGGAGCCTGGAAAAAAAAGAGGAAAGGAGGGGGAGCATAAGATGGGAATGAGCATGATGGATGGCATCCTTTAATTGAATTTCTCTAGAGTGCATTAGCTCGATATGCTGTATCTCCAAGATCAGAGCAACCATAGGTTTGTAAAATCTTGGGAATATGCTCAGTAGATAAACAGAGTAGAATGCAGTGGTTCAAGTGATGGAGAGAACAAAAGCTAAGTCAATCTACAATGAGTGTGTGTATCCTTGCTTCCAAAACAAAGTCTGCTCAGTGTATGTAGATGTGAGATTCAATAAATATAACAACCTGAAACAGTGAGCAGTGCCTCAGTGCTATGTTTCACTCCTGCACTGTTATGGGCAACACAGCAGAATTTTCCACTGTCCTCATCACGCACTCCTGTAATCTGCAGAACACCTGTAGGCAGAAGAGTGTACCTACGAGAAAAAAGATACAAACCAGAAGGAAATAAGTACAACGAGACCTGATAAATGACCTATAAAGCACCGTCTCTAATAAGTGTCACTCAGTGATGTGGTGTGGTCCAACCTCTCGTCCTTGGTGTCGACCGGACGGCTATCTTTTTCCCAGCTGATGACAGGCTCTGGCAGACCGTGGATCTGGCACTGGAATCTAGCCACACCAGACTCCTCAGCATGCACCGACTCTGGTTGGACATGGAAGTCTGCCATAGCTGTAGAGGGAGGGAGAGGGAGGGGATATTAGGTCATAACATCACGACACAGCTACAGAGCAGCAAGCCTGGCTGCTTACACTACATACATATTTATAGACGGTACAAATCATCAGAAATTCTCCTGGCAAGTTTATCTTGTGTCCCTTACCATCTAGTCAATTTGTCTGCAAGGGTAAAGTAAAAGAGCTTCACAACAGCACTGTGTGTCACATGCATGCATTCATTAACACCTATCATAGGGAACGCTCAAGATAAGGAGAAGTGATCCACAGGGCGTGAATGCTGACTGACTGACTAAAGAAACATCAATGTAGAGTTGCTGTATTTAGGACACAAGAATTGTGTTGTAACAGTGCTCGAAATAACGTGCATGCTGCTCTCTTTACTCATCACAGTACTAAAAAGATAATGAGTTTAGGCAGGATGATGAAGATGAAATACAACAATACTGCCAGGTGTAAAGTTGATGTAGGGAAGAAGAAATTGTTCTTCCCTTCTTCTCTGGAGAAATATCTTTTGGTTCGGAAAGATATTGTGTGTCTACTGGTTTGTAAGTGTCTACATGTATGATATATGTGACACCCATGACCGCTTAAGTGATGCCTTTGTAATCCAAATAATGATTTTCTTTTTATCTTCTTTCTACACAAATGTTGTTGGAGACACTTGAATGATGGAAGAGTCTTCTTTCAGTAGGAATTTGTGTACCTTCAAATCCTACATTTATCTGACATTTCTGCTCAAGCAAGATATGACACACGTACAACTGTATCTGGGCCACAGTCAATCAGTTGCTGGGGTGATCAGCACACAGCAGCTATATGGATTACCTGCCATATGTTTACATTTAGTATGTAGGTCATACGTGTTTTTAAAAACTCATGCTAACACAGACAACACGGACAAAACTCAAAAAATATATCTGCATGTAACAAACCCAGTATCAATATCCTTACAGAGAGCCTCATTCAACTGCACTTCACATATCTACTCCCAGCAGAACAAATGTGGCATCGAAGGTGGAGCCAGCGACAAACTCAATTAGAGAGAGGCCCTCTTCTTCCACAGTTACCCCACCTTCTTCAACACAAGTGTACTCATTTAAATGTCAACTATGATTAACTTGGACGAAGGAGGACTTGTCTGAACACTGTTAGCATAACAAGAGCGACAGACCCCTTATTATTTCATAACCTCTTGCTCTTCCCAACCTATATTCATTACTTACAGGATGAGCAGGAAGTAAGCAGCACAACTCAGAGGGCTTTATTTATGACAGAGACATGGCTTGGTTGTTGTGTATTTGTCCCTCCACTAATTGTTTTTGTTGGTCCTGTTTGCACTGCGGATATTGCGTTGCACATTTCTTCACTGATTGATCTATTCTGCCCTGAGTCTTTTCTACTGATGGGTCTTTCGTGATTATTTTATTTTGTTATAAAGGGTTGATGTAGAGGTATTGTACAGTGCTGGAAGAGACATAGAGATGGAGAGAGAGAGAGAGAGATACTGTAGAGTGGTAGTACTTTAGACCAATATGGCTCCATCAGTGGTCTGTGTGTGGTGATTATTCCATTTCAGAGCTTAATGAGAAGTGTGGCATTCTCCAACATGACTTGACCTTAGATCTCTGAATGGATGTATGGAGCTCTGATGAAAATTTAAACATGCTAATTTACTATTCTTCCAGTAGTGACAGTTGATTCTTCCCAAGCTATTACTTTTCTGTGAGAAGAGATAGTACATTCACTTTCCACTATCCATTACAAGATAAAAAAAAAACAACATAGAAAATCTGACTGTTACGCAGCTTGACAGATTTCTTGGGCTCATACTTTTTATTTTGCCTCTCTATTGTAAGCTAATGGTTAAACAGCTGTACATCTTACTGAGGTAATTCAGCTTAAGTGCCTATCTCAAGGGCCCGACTGCAATTTTACCAGCCAGGACTCACAACCTTCTAGCAATAAAATGTTTGAGGCGAACCTCACCGCGAAGCATAGATGGCTTACAAGTCACAGAGTACATCAGTAATATTTCATCACCTAAACACTGTTATAGGACATATAACTCTTAACATCTTCTTCAGATAATGATTGTTTTCTTTTACCACTGCAAGACCTAGAACCTTCTTCTCTTTCATTTCAATTCACTGAAGTTGTAAAACATTGAAAATCATTGCAAAGAAAAGTATTAATCAAATTACTGCATTTCAAACAACAGGATATTGGCCCGTAAGAACATTTTTATGGGTTCTCACTTCTTTTTTGAGATGAGTTACGACAAAAACAATCAGCAATACTTTCTGTCTTGGCTTGTTGGAATACGGAGCCTGAAGTAGAGACCGACAGAGTGTAGCAGTTAATTAAAGGCCTGAAGGCACTGTCACTGCTGGTGCAGAAAGGTTAGATGTAGTGACACAGCTAGGAATCCTTCAAAACACAATACACAGAAAACAAAGAGCTCAGAGTGACTTATGTGATCTAAGAAGCTCGCTGTCTTAGAATACAGTCTCAAATTAAGATACACGCATGCACGCACTCTGCTGTTTGTACTGTCCATGTGAACTGGGGAGCACTGGGGACATGGAGAAAGAAACAAAATTGCACTTGAATGCTGAAGAACAAAGGAGTTAAAAAGGAGGACCAGTGCCTGTAGCTTTCTTGTGCATCTCTGCCAAGTAGTCATGGTGTCCGCTGATCTGGCTCCCCCCTAACAGGCCCCACCCTTGGCCCTCATGCATAAAACATGGAATCTCTAAAAGGCCCACACCCCTGCGACTATCGACACACTCGTAGAATCAGACACAATCAGAAAAATCACAATAGGGTTACATACGCAGATAAAGGCATACAGCAGCAGAGAAAACAGTGCAAACTTGTTAACGATCTCTGCAGGATGTAAAGGAAAACAGCCTGTTCGTAATCTGCATTGTGCATGTGCCTTTTGTTGTCGAAAAAGGTTGCAGAGTCAATCTAAAGTGATGTAGCCCAGCTACAGCACACACATACAAACAAATGCAGAGAGCTGCTTCAACAGAAACCCACAAGTGTATCGATGGATACTGCTGAAGGAAAAGACTGACACACATGAGGCTCTTTTTCTAAGAGTTGACAGACACTCACACGTGATTAAAGACTGTCGACTACCAGCATGATGTTTCTGTCTTAAATGGTACGACGGAGTATTAGGGCCATACTAAGAGAAAAAAAAATTGTGGGGGGGGAATTACGAGAATTACGACGGAGTATTAGTGCCAGACTAAGAAACTTTTTTTGGGGGGGGGAAATTACGAGAATAAAGTTGTAATGTTACGAGAATAATGTAATAATAATACAAGAAATAAAGTCGTTTTAATGAGAAAAAAGCTTCGATAGAGTTATCAAGATCTGGCGTGACCAGCTCAACCAAACAGCAGCCTCAGCCTGAGCCCAGCAGCCACTATTTGTCTCAGTCGTACCGTACAGTCAACAGGTAAGCTAACGTATTGATAAGTTCGTCGTTGACAGTTCTCATAAAATTACGACTTTATTCTCGTAATGTTACGACTTTATTCTCGTAATATTACCACTTTATTCTCGTAATGTTACGACTTTATTCTCGCAATATTACGACATTATTCTCGTAATATTACAACTTTATTCTTGTAATGTTACGACTTTATTCTCGTAGACCTAATATTACGACTTTATTCTCGTAATATTACGACTTTATTCTCGTAATATTACCACTTTATTCTCGCAATATTATGACTTTATTCTCGCAATATTACGACATTATTCTCGTAATGTTGCGACTTTATTCTCGCAATATTACGACTTTATTCTCGTAATATTACAACTTTATTCTTGTAATGTTACGACTTTATTCTCGTAGACCTAATATTACGACTTTATTCTCGTAATATTACCACTTTATTCTCGTAATGTTACGACTTTATTCTCGTAAACCTAATATTATGACTTTATTCTCGTAATATTACCACTTTATTCTCGTAATTTCCCCCCGTAATATTAGGTCTACAAGAATAAAGTCGTAACATTAAGAGAATAAAGTCATAATATTACGAGAATAAAGTCGTAATATTGCGAGAATAAAGTCGTAACATTAAGAGAATAAAGTCATAATATTACGAGAATAAAGTCGTAATATTGCGAGAATAAAGTTGTGACATTACGAGAGTAAAGTCGTAATATTGCGAGAATAAATTTGTTATTAATAAAGTCGTTTACTAATTTTCTTAGTCTGGCCCTAATACTCATCATAAAATGGAGCAGGTCTCATTACCGCAAAAAGGGAGAGAATGGTTGGGGTGCATACTAAAAAGAAATCCACACACAAGTGCACAGAGAGGAGATTGCTCCTTGAACATATGTTCGACGGTTCCTTGGTGGCAACCACAAAAGGAGAATGAGTGAGGGAGTAATATGAGGGAAGGTCACAGACAGGAAATGTGAAGCGTGGTGATTTAGATGGGTAGCTGACCTGTAAATCAGCTCTTGTCAAAACGATGTTCATCTAATAATAGCCAACTAGTGAGTGAGTGAGTGGCACTGCCCCACAGCTTGTCTCGCAATTCACAACTAAATAGTTATAAAATGAATCAGTAACAGGTGGGAATTAACAAGAAAATATGTTTTGTGAGTAAAAATTTGCTTATCCTGGAATCTCACAAAGACACACACGATATGAATCCAAGTGCAGATGCGTTACTGCTGATTATTGGGTTCGATGGCCAATGACAAGCTAAAAGGGCAGTCAATACTGACAAATTCCCCCAGTCTTCAATTCCACACTACTGGTCATGTACAACAGAAATGTAAGCTCTGCCTTTTCCTTATGAGCCACTCAGATCTTTCTAATGAAGAAATGTAGATTAAATGGTGATTATTTAAATGACCCCTAGCTGAATCATTTTTTTGCCTAATGGCTTCAAAGTAATGATCCATTCCTTTATTGCTCACTTAAACATACACACACGCACAAAGACACACACA